GTCGAAAAGTGCGATACGTGCATTCAATTTTAACGAAAAGTTCACAATAGTTAGTGAGCTTAAGCAGGGTACATCTCAAGCAAATATATAAATTATATACGTGTGGATCGTGGGTGATTGATTGCACTGAGGAATTATCACTCGCGTTCCTATTTCTCTTATAATCGCCAAATACTTCAGTAACTTTTGTAGACTAACTTTTATTGAGACATCAGCAACAGTTGAGAACAGAAGAACAAGTAACAAAATGAGTACAGAGAATGGTCAAAGCCCCTTTTTATATTATAAGATTACACTTAAGAATTTTCCAGAAATCAGCAGTCTCGGGTAAAAATGCAAACATCACATCCTGTCTCACGAGTATGGGACGATGTTATACTCGTAGGGACTTAGATCGTGTTAATGCTTTAAGGATACCGTAACTCCTCCCCACGGTGAAAAAGATTCGTCTCGAATCAGACAAAATTAAGCTAAAGGTATTTCCTCAGCGGGTTTAGAAATTGTTGAGTTGTGGGTGGAACTTTGGTGTCCTTTACATAACGATATTTTACAAATACAATAATAAAAATGATTAAAAATATAAGAATACAAACTAAAATGATACGATAATTTACAGTAGATCTATAATGTAAATTCTGAAAGCTGACTTACAAAGAGGTAAGGTTTTGATGTAAATAAGATTCCAGTGAAGCATTTGTTTTCTGAAACTGATATTGCGTACTTTGCTGCATAAGCAAGGTCTAACTTAATCTGAAATGTGGAAGCAAATTCTAAAGTTTTATGATTAATTAATGTATTACATTCTAAAATAATATGTGTCGCATAATGTATAAAAGAAGTACCTTTACAGTCTTTTATCTTTGTTAGTTGATTAGTATCAATTATATAATTATTTCTATTCAATTCTAATATTCTCGTGTAGTTTGTTATACTTTCAAACTCGCAAATTTCGAACCTCTGTGGTTGACAGTGAGACTGGAAAGTACTTTTACAAACATACAGTTGATTACTAAGTTTAATAATGTCAGAACAGTAATAACTCTTTTCATAAGTTAATAAATACTCACTTGGCAGAGTAATAAGTTCATGATAAATAGAAATAGCAAATAATTTATACAATGTAAATTCCTTAATATTCAAAATGGAAAACTTAATTACAAATATAATTTCATCTTGTAAACAAATAATAGAGAGAGGTCATAGATTTCGAATAAATGAATGGAATCAAATGGTAATAATTGTTCCTTTTTATAAATGCTTTGTAAATGTTCAATAAGTAGACTTACTTGATGATGCTTTAATTGCAAGGTATTGAGACCAGATTGTTGGTTCAACTGAATGGCAAATAATAAAGAATTTAGATAATTGTTAAATTGTTGCATGTTAGTAATGTTAGAGACTTGATGTATCATTTGATGCGAGAGTAAAGTTTTGTTGAAAGGGAGGTCTTGGATGAAAGCGATTAGCATGAGAGACATTAGGTCTCTGGAAAGATGTGCTGGGTTTTGGGGTATGGGAATTAGTGTTACTAAAAAATGTGAAAGAATCTTTGGCACGAATTATAGTCATTGCATTGTCTTCTTCACAAATTCGCAAAGCATCTTGTAACGACGATCTGAATAGGGATTTTTGACACCTAATATGAATGAGGAAAGAGCTAAACTTTCGTTACGTTCAATAAGGAGCGACCTAATTGCTTGTCCTGAATGAGCAAGGCTTATGCATTCATTCATTTCTCTTAATCTATCTAGAACTCGTTCATAAAATTGACGGTAAGTTTCAGTGTTACTTGGCTTTAACATAGTCATTTCATTTGACAAGACTGTTTCATTTTTAGTAGTTTTATAATTTCGAATTAGAACATCACGAGCTTCGACCCATGAAGTGGCACCGTGATTTCTGACCTTTTCGAGAGCTTGATCTCGAATATCTAACATGACCAATTCGACAGCAGGCTCTTCGAATTCTGTGTTTTGAAATTTTGAAATGAACAACTCACTTTCTCGTATAAAGCTAGACAAATTATTTTGGTTATGAGAAAATTTTGGCAGAGAGTCATTAAGACTCCTGAATCGTAGTTCAAGCATTCTGTAACGTTCGTTACCATTCGGTTGGGCCATTGTGGTTTCAGAATTTGAAATATTTGAGTCAAGAGGATGATCACTAGAACTAGAACTTGAACGTGGATAAGTGTAAGGGGAGTATGAATTCTCTCTACTAAATCGTCTAACAAGAGGCATAAAAATACAATCTTAAAAATAGTTAAACACCAAGCAAAAATGTAGCAAAAATCAAATATTTTCACAAATAAGTCGTCTTTTTCTCCAAATGGTCTCTCTTCTTTGTACAATATCAATTAATATCAAAATCTTCTTATATTTTTTTTCAATTTCTTCAATAAAAATCTTCTTACTTCTTAATAAACTTTCTAAATCTACTTACAATGACGTGATCAGCATCGATGTCGCCAAGGGACCCATTCGTTCTGTTTTCTGGTTGTTCTGGATGCAAAAGTTTTCTCCAAAAAGGTACTGGCACATGTGTGGTCTTACCGGCCACTAAGATGAACCTGGGACAGGAACTTGCGAGGTCCTTCCGACCTCGGAACTCGTTCACAGGTTTTAGTAGCGATACCCAATTGCAAAAGTTTGAAAACTTTTACCTTCTAGCTGGCTTCTCAGTGAATCTTCGTGATTTCTGACCAAGTCACACTACTTGATGAAGGCTGGGCATCCTGTTCGCAGCGCCAATTAAATACATGTGGATCGTGGGTGATTGACTGCGTTCCTCTTTCTCTTATAATCGCAAATGATGTTAGAGAAATACTTCAGTAACTTTTGTAGACTTACTTATATGCTCGTATGGCTATAAAGAAATCTACTGTGTAATTTTTTTGGAAAAACCGTGACAAAATTAAAAATGACTGGAGGTGAAATAGTCAAAAGAAAAAAATGCGGCTATCGCTGCATCTCCTAGTCGATGATATGCTGTTTAAATGGATTCAACAAAAGCGTGCTAATAATATTCCAATAAGTGGACCTATGCTACAAATAAAGGCTGAAGAATTCGGGAACTTGATTGGAGATTACTTCAAATGTAGTTCCGGTTGGCTAGACAGGTTTAAGAAAAGACATAACATTGTTTTTGGAAAAATATGTGGTGAGTCAGCTTCAGTTGACAAGAACGTTACCAATGACTGGATTTCTCAAGTTTGGCTCGCAATATCCAGTGATTATTCAGATGATACCATATTCAATGCAGATAAATGCTACCAGATAAAACTCATAAATTAAAAGGTGAAACTTGCAATGGAGAGAAACTATCAAAAGAGCGAATAACTGTTATGATTTGTGCTAATGTTTCTGGTACTGAAAAACTGAAGCTATTGATAATAGGTAAGTGAATGACTAGAAATTCATGTTCTAATTTTTTTGATATTCAATGGCAGTGCTGCAAAGAATTTATTACCTTTTTTATTTCGGGGAAATTCAAGAATCCCAGGTGTTTCAAAAATGTTAAAACAATTCCCGTCGATTATGTTGGAAATGATAAAGCTTGGATGGCCTCATCAATTTTTAAAGAATATTTGAAAAAGTGGGACGCTGAACTTGTTAACCTGGGTCTAGTCGCGCTCTTGTTTTATGAAAATCTGGTCGCGCCGGGTCTCACAGACCCAACTGTTAAATTTGGACAAATCATAACAATAACTAAATTATTTCATATAAAAATTGATTCTGTATAATATTGTAAGTCATTAAATACCCATTTGCATTTAAAAGATATATATTAAACGAAATAATGTTATAAAATCTAGTTTTAACTGCAAGTGAAAACTAAGAACTTACGATAAAATATTGTGCGCTAAAACTAGTCTACTTAAAACAAGAATCTATAAATCGCCATCATTATTATCAGAATTCCTTCTAGCTTCTCTGTTCTTTTGTTCTCAGTCTTTACAAAAAATAGTTGGGTGGCCTAAACATAAATATTTATAACAAACATTGCAGTAGTATCTGGTTTTGCTAAACCTCGAAAAGTCAGATGTTGTACATTTTTATACAAACGCCCCTATTCTAGCAAATCATGAGACATCGAAAACTACGACATTCTTGGGAATAGAAATGGATGCAAAGCTCAGTTGGCAACAACACATGGACAGTGTGTGTAAAAAGTTGAACCAATCATATTATGCGATTCTTAAGCTCAAGTTTTGCTTATCAGAGTCAGCTTTACTAGATGTACGTTATATTATGCTCTCGTCCACTCACATTTATCAAGGAACATCATAATTTGGGGACAAGCAACTTCAATTTCTAGAGCATTTGTTCAACAGAAGAGAATAATCAGACTGATATTCAACATTCGTAGGAGAGAATCCTGCAGAGATATCTTCAGAAGTAAAAACATCATGACTCAACCAAGCATTCATATTTATAAGTGCGCCCTTTTTACACATACAAGCAAAACAAAATTTATACAGAACAAAAACATCAACACACATTATAATACAAGGGCAGGAGAGAGTCTGAGTATTCCAAAACACACACTGACGCTGTTCGAAAAGTCACCGGAATACACCTGCATCAGAATATATAACAAACTTTCAGCTAACCTCAGGAATGTCAGTAGTATTGCTAGTTTTAAATGTAAACTACGAAAATTATTAGTTGAAAAATGTTTCTACTCTTTGTCTGAATACCTCGCACTGTGATATATTTTTTTAAACTTTTTTATATGTGAATGTCTGTTCGCATTAAGTTGTCCCTGTTTGTACTTTGTAAATACTTATGTTTGTTTCGTTTTTATTTTTAATTATGTGTACTATGTACCTCCCTCTTAGGACGAGTCTTATGTCATTTTTTATGATCTACAAGATAATAAATGTATCTATCTATCTACCTGAATTAACACATTCTTCGCATCGTTTTCTTTTTCCGGGCACAGGAAGCTCACGTTCTTCTTCAGGTATATTGGCAGCTTCTCGCCGACGCTTTCTTACTTCACGTGAAAGGTATGTCATAGTGGCTCTGTGCTTTTGGTAATCGCTTATAAGCTGACGTGCCAACTGCAGCAGGAACTTTCTTCTTACTAAATCTGTTTCGGTTATTTGCGCAAACTATGATATGTGCGTTAATTGCTGCCACATTCAGTAAAGAATACAGTACAACCATGGGCCACATCCTAGTATTCCTTGCACCGTTGTAGTTTGCAGCTTTTTCATCTACTACATCAACGCCTGATTTCGTTTGGTTGTAAAAAGTAATAATTTCTGGTTTGGCTTTATCTTCTGTTGCAGGATCTATTTTATCGTCATGGTGCATACTAGAGATAGGGATGACGTTTTTACCCTTTCGAGGTACATAAGAAACAAGAGCTCTATTTTTTTGAAAGCCGAACATGCTTGAATTAACAGGAAGCAATTTTGTATTTATGAAATCTGCTGGTAGTTCTTTTTTATTCTTCCTAACCGTGCCAATAAGCGTTGAGTTATGACCGCGTAGCAACACATCAACTAGTTCATAACTGGTAAACCAGTTATCTGTGGTGATGTTTCTTCCCGTTTTAGATATTGGTTGAATCATTCGCAAAACAATACTTTTAGGATCGTTGCTTTGTCGATAAGGCCCCTACGTACACTTCTAAATTTAAAGTGTAAAACATATTGGCGTCTACCAGTGCAAAAATCTTGATACCATATTTGTTTGGCTTCGACGGCATATAATGCCTGAAACCGCAGCAACTCCTAAATGCCTCAAGTTTCTCATCTATTGTCGCGTATTCGGAGACGGTATAATGTTTTTGACAATTTCTTACAAAAGAATCAAAAACTTCTCGAATAGGTGCCAGTTTGTCGTATTTTCTACGTTCCTCCCTTGTTTCTTTGTCGACAGTGCGGATAACACGCATCAGGAAACGGAATCTCTGCAACGACATGGTCAACCAAAACATATCAACCCCAGAACTATCTCGACTCCATAGATCTTCAGTATTGAGTCGACTGCCTTTGTGAAGACCTGCTAAATATAATAAACCTATTAGAGCTTTGATTTCAGCTAGGCTTGTAGGTTTTGCATCTCTAGAACGCTTATATTTATCAGACATAGTTGATATATATTTGTTGGTGTTTTCCACAATACTTTCAAGCATGATCTGATCAAAGTATAACATCCAACATTCTAAAGGTATTTTGCGTATCGTTGCGAGAATGGATGCTTATTCTACTGCGTAATTCCATCTTTGCCAGTAAAATAAGGCTGTGATTCCACGTCTCTTTCCGCTTCCTCATCATTTTTCAACTCCCGATCACTTTCCGCTTCTTGTTCACTGTTAGAATCTTCCCTTTTTTCAACAATATCCTCAATCAAATTTCCTTCATCTTCATCATCATCCGCTACTTCATCAGATGACTCAATCTCTTCCCAAAGACGCCTAAGACGTTCTTGCTCTTTTTCATAAGAGCAATTCATTTGTAAAATAAAATATTTATATTACCAATAGAAATTATCCTACAGTCATTGTAGAATTTAAATTTCACGCTTTCCGGTTATCAAATATACTAGAGCTGACTGCATTGTAAGCATGCCCTTGTCAAGTTAGGAAGGTAGTGGGAGTAGCACGCCTGGCAATGTCGCCACATCTAAGCTACGCTACATGATATAAACTCGTGGGTCTGTGAGACTCGGCGCGACTACTGCAGGGTTAAGAAAAATCGTAAAATTTTGCTCTTGGTCGATAACTGCCCCGCTCATCCAAGTATGTATTTCACCTAATAACATCAACCTTCAATTTTTTCCACCCAATGTGACATCAGTTCTGCAACCAATGTACCAGGGTGTCATTTGGAGACTTAAACAAATGTATCGGAAACATATGTTGATGAAAATTATGGACCTTCAAGAAGATGTCAACATTACCAAAGCTGTTACCAGATGCTGTAAATTTGCTTACTGTTGTATGGGAATTGGTTACTTCAGCAACGATTCGTAATTGTTTTCGTCATGCTGGTTTCGTGAAAAACATAACTGAAATAGTCAACGATTTTAATCCCGAAGATGAAATTCCATTAGATGATTCACTGAAAATGAATAGTTTACTGAACATAGACAAATTTAATGAGTATGTAAATGTTGACAATAACCTAATAGCAACACAGGAGTTGTCAGACTCCAACTTGGTTAATGAAGGATCCGTTGATAACGAACAGGAAGACGGACTAGAAAACAACGATGAAGAGTAGCTTCCAGTGACAACCGCGGCCAATCCAACGATTTGGATAAACAGTTTGTAAATAATTACAAACCGCTACACTGAAGTGCGCTGGTGTACCATCATGCATGTACCACATATCGTTTCTTATTACTAACGGAACATCATCAAGCAGCAAAGGCAACTGTTGCGGAAGAAAATTGAGGCAAGTCTGTCCGTCAAGTCGTCCTGGCCAGAAGAATGGATCAATAAAGTGGATGACAATGATTAACCAAAAATTGGTGTTGGTTACGGCATAAGGATTTTTTTCTGCCCACAAGTGCGTATACTGGAAATTCTGAGTGGCATTTCGAGAAAAATTAGCTTCACCCGTGAACAGAATCATTGATTCAAATTACGGATTTTGTGTAATTTTTTGAAGATACCACTGACAAAACTTCACACGCCATGGAGAATCAATGGGAAGTAATGCCTGTACTCCTGAAATATGATGAGGATATAACAAAAAATCTACTAAAATTCTCCAAATATTTAAGTATCTAGCTATCTTCCTCGTACTCGTTTCAGGATGTTCTTCGACTTCGTGCAGCACGACTTTCTCAATTTCAGGTGTTCTTACACTTAGTGGTCTACCTTCAGATGTTCCTTTTCGGACAGAGCCAGTTTCAACAAGACCACGATAAATATTAGAAAAGGGTCGACTATCTGTCAAAGCACGATCGGGATATCTCTGGTGATAGATCCGTCTGAAAACGATTGGCGTACTATTTTTTTCTTAAAAAATATCGAAGTCAATACCCGTACGCATGCCACTATTAAAGCTAAACTTTATTTTTGCATTGACACATATGCAACTTTATTAACTTTCACTACGTACTAAATATGACTGAAATATCTGACGCGGTTCTGAAAATATTAATAAATCTCCATTTTTTTCCTAAAACCGAGTTTTTGTAAGGAAACATTTTTGGACCAAAGTTTATAAAGCAAACCAACATTAATTTTTCATGTTGATTCACACCCTTAAGTGGTTGATTATGGTAATAATTGACACTTTGTTCCGTCTTATTTCGAAAAATCTATAGATAGGTTAGTGTTTCCAATATAGAATTAGCTTTATATCCAGTAGCAATGAGTATATCTCGATTAACATTTTTGGATTGAAAATAAATGCGGACTTGTCTATAGAGTGAAAGAAAATGATCTGCAGAAAACTGTTCACAAGAGTGAGTGAAACTGACGCCCAAGGCCAGTTTTCAGACGTTTTCCTACGTTGTCTACTCAAACCAGCTCATCCAAGTTCTTTGTAAAGATCTCTCCAATTCCGTAACATATCCAACGATGCTCCGAAAAGGCAGCCAAAATTGATCAAAAGTTATTTTGGAAATTTGAAGTACAACTACACATTTTTAATACACCTCACTCACTGTAGAAAATAAGATCAGTGCAAAAAATGTAAGTCTTACTTCCTTGCCTTAGATGTGAGACCTTGTGATAGTTTTTTGGGACTTTTCAGTCTTATAAAAAGTTTGTTATACTGCGATATAAATAAAATTTCATCATATTATAAAAAATATCACATTTAATGCCTACCGAATAAGCTTAGGACCTTTGGATACACAATTTTATGAGCATTGATACCAAAAGTATAGTCTAAGTGGTTAAACGAGTAATCCGAGAGCAAGAATCTTCCCTTGCTGTTGCCAAGTCTGGCGTATAGTTTTTCCACATCGCTTTCAGCTGCTAGCCAGTCGTTTTTACTGTAGATCAAGTACACAGGAGCAGTAACATGTTGTAGTTCGTATTCTGGTGGGTGGAGAGTCCCATAGATCTTTCGATTCTCCTTCCAACCAAAGTCATAGCGACGGAAGATGCCTGAAAAACCGATAAGGTAATAAATTGTAACATTCGAACATTGAGTTCAAATTGGAATGACAAATTCTCAAATTAAATATAGCATATCCAACACTCAGCTATTCTCCAGCAACTACAATTTTGAATGAAAATTCAGGACCATAGTCAGTTGATGATAAAAATGTTTTCACTTTAGTTGCTGGAAACCGTAAACCAATCAAATAACGCCTTGTCTCGGTATGTAACTTATAAGTCATTTGCTTTGTCGAATAGTCAATCAATATTTTTAGTTCATTTAAGTTCTATTAAACTTTTCTGAACGGCCTCGCAAGGAACTAGGCTCCACACAAGGACAATATAATAAATCATTCGCTTAATTCTTAAAAATTTGATAATAATAATAATCTTGATTCATTGATAGAAGGTTTTTTCTTTTGTAACAAGGCAGCCGCGCAGGCAGAAGCCCAAATGCCGGAACACCGCGGCTGCTATGATGATCCCACAGAAACTTTGTTAGTACGATTTTTTAACTGCCTAAGGTTAGTAGAACTTGTAGACCGTTCCACAATTTCGACACCCTCGGGACAAAGGAGCGGTCATATCGGCCAGTTCTGGATGTACGAAGTTCGACACGGTTAGGATGGGACGCTAAAGTCAGGCAGGTCTGTCTGGCAGGCACATCGCGCAAGGCTCAAAGTACAAGGATATAATACTGCTACCCGGAAAAGTTCAGCTGTCATTCCTAGGGGAATAGCTGGTCTTCCGCTTAACCTCATATAACGCACTTAATAGGAATAAAAGAAAGTTTGACAAAATTCGAATACAAAAGAAAAAAGAAAAAATACAAAATGAGATAGATGTAATCAGATACATATAGGTGATAGAACATAACATTACTATAGCTAAATCTCAGAAACCTGGAGTAGTGTTGTTTTAAGTGTTGAGGGACCGCATTATATGTTCTGGAGATATTATAAGAAAAGGATCTTTTATAAAGAGCAGTACGATGAACTGGTGGTATGATTGTAGTTTTAGACCTTATATTTACTTTGTGTACATCTTGGCGAAAGGTAATTTTGCTATATAAACTTGAAGGAGCTTTCATGGTCACAACCTTACGATAAAAACATGCGGTATGCAGCTGTCGTCTATCTTTCATATTTAACAAGTTTGTTTCGACTAATTTTTGTGAAATACATTTATATATTTTTTACCTCGTTGTTATCTATACATTTGTTGTAAATAATATCCCAGAAATTGAAATGTGATAGTACAAGTCCATCTGTCAATAAAAATTTGGACTCGATATTTAACATATCTCTGTAGCCATCGATGTTTTTTAGGTTGCTAAAGGCTCTCTACTTATACAATTAATTATATGATTCTTGAAACGCAAGTCTTCATCAAGTAATCATAATAAGAATAATAATGTTTATTGAAGAAAAAGTACAATCTAGAAGCAAAAGAAAAACACCGTATCCCACGATGAATATACACAAACCCACAAGAAGCAAATACTGTACTGTTCGTCATTTGTTTGTCTGCGCGGTACGTAGGACCTTTGACCATTAGTCACTGTCTAATGTACGTTAGTCGGATCTGTCAGTCGTGATTGCCCAGAAACCAGACCATGTCAAGGAAAAAGAGAAAGGGAAAGAAAAGAAAAAAGGAGAAGAGCAAAGAAAAACATAAGTGTTTAGTTTAAGAGGAAACACCCAGGCTTTTTGACACGGATTAATTTTGAGGGGAACAAAACAAATTTTTATTCGCTTTTTTTTGGGGCGCTATTTTTTTATTACAGTGCGAGCTGTGGCCTTGAATGTTTACGAACTTGCTCCACTGTGAAGTCCACTGAGTCGCGCAACAGAGGGTTGCTGTGCGATTCCGCTTGACTATAACGTCGCTGCGCCTGAAGCTTGACTTAATCCATCAAGTAAGGAATGTCAACAAGCAAATGCTTGTGCGTGGGGAGATATACCCATTGGGGTCGTACAATTTCAACTTTAACATCGCCCTGCTAGCACATATTTAGCTACATGACGTTGAATATTTATAAAATATAGTGATAAAAGCTATTGGAATATACAAGGCGTCAACATTTTTTTTATTTTGAAAACCTACATATAAAAGACAGAAATACGAGAAATGTCTTTTAAGTTTTGCATATAGAAACATAGTAGGCCGGACATCCCTCGTATAAAAGAATTACCTAACCGACGGTTTACTAATTTTTTGAAACATCTATACCTTTTTTTTAAAGATCCAAAGACAAAGATCAATACAATAAAATCGCTAACAGATTTTTTTGAAATATCAACATGTCACATTAAATGTAAGTGTGATGTTTTACCTATACTAAGTGACATATAAATCCGGACACCCAGTTTAAATGGTTTTATTTTAATAAAAGTTGGTGAAAAAATTTTCAGCCTTATCAGTTGGACATTCCGGTTTTTATACTGCTTTTTTTTAATTCACTAACGCTCTAAAAATGAATATTTCAGCCGCAGTAAAGAATCAACGTTGGCGGATTTTGGTTCTTGACATCCTTTACGATCGGTTACGATGCCTAGAGTACGGAGACCTGTACGATTTCGTCAACTTAGTGAGTTTGATAGGGGCCGTATAGTGGGACTTCGGGAAGCTGGACTTTCTTTTCGGGCAATTGCAGTTAGAGTGCAAAGAAGTATAGACACTGTGGTTAGGTGTTGTCAGGCATGGCTTCGAGAAGGCCGTACGCAAAGAGCAAGGGGCACTGGATGCCGCCGTAGAACAACAGACCGTGAAGATCGCCGCCTAAGATTATTGGCCTTAAGGGACCGTTTCTCCACTACCAGGTCCATTGCAAATGAATGGTTTGCAGAACACGGAAGACCTATTGGCATGCGAAGTGTTTACCGATGAATGAGAAGTTTTGGCTTGTTTTCATACCGGCCACACTGGGTCCTCCCTTTAGGTCGAGAACACCGACGTAATCGCCTTGAGTGGTGCAGACAACGGTCACTCTGGGATCAGGAATGGAACAGAATTGTCTTTAGTGACGAGTCTCGATTTTGTTTAGGCATGCACGATGGTCGTGCCAGGGTTAGAAGGCGACGTGGTGAAAGGAGGAATCCACAGTTTTTTGTTGAAAGACATGTTCATCACACTGTTGGAGTTATGGTTTGGGGTGCAGCGTTATATCCACGAAGTTCTAGAACCCCATCTTTTACCCTATCTTGACACCCTGGCAGATCCAACTTTCCAACAAGATAATGCCCGACCACATGTTGCAAGAGTCACAATAGACTTCTTTCAACATAATGATGTCACATTGTTATCATGGCCACCAAGATCTCCCGAGTTATCCCCAATTGAGCACGTGTGGGATATGATGGGTAGGAGATTGCTCAATTTGCAACGTCCTCCTCAGACTCTAGAAGCACTTCGAGAGTAGTTGGTGGTTGCCTGGAATGAGATACTACAGGAGGACATTGACCACCTGATCAGAAGCATGCCAAGGCGCGTTGGAGAATGCGTAGCACATCAAGGTGCATCCACACATTATTAGAGGTCTAAGGGCTTTAAAGCAGTGCAATCATTTTGAAATTTTTATCATTTACTTATTATGCTTCATTAAGTACTTACACAAAATTTTATTAAAATAAAACCATGTAAACTGGGTGTTCGGATTTATATGTCACTTAGTATATTTACTATAATTCTATCAACTTGTTTTTGTCTCTTTTCAAGTAAGTATGTTTTTATTTCTTTTTTGAATTTTGGTAACGATGACAATTTTTATTTCATCAGGCAGAAAGTTATATAACCGACTGGCAAGATACGTATAGCATCTTTATCCTATTTTTTTAGTAGACAAAGAAGTCCCGCTTATTTTATTAACTTTGTTCCTAGTATATTGTATCGGTACTAACGTATGTTTATTGTTAATTGATATACTAATATACTGAACGAAAACAATTTCCGAAGATCTATAGTTTCTGCATCTCTATACAGCTGTTCTGACGGATAAGGTCTGTTTTTATTATGAATTATTTGTGAAAATTGTTTTTCTAATACCTCAAGTTTTGCTAAGTGAACGGTTAGAGGATACTACTACATTTTTTCCTTTGGTTTGTCTATTCATTGCAACTCCATTAACATGAATATTTATTTTATCTTTAATAAGTCTTCTAACTTTTTTGGGGCCAAAAATAATAAAATTTGACTTGTCAGGGTTAAGGTACAAGGGATGCTGTTGTGAGATATCGGAGGTACTGTTGAGCTCAGCGCATATTTTACGACAACCTTCATCTACTTTAAATGGATCTTCAAGTTGAAAATGAAGCAATAAATATATACAACAACACGCTTTCATAAAAAAAACTCAACAACATTATTCGAGCACTACCCTATTTGTGAAAATGTTTAAAATATTTCTAGTGATTATTATATCGATATCACATAAGTTTCCAATCACCTCTAAAATGAAATCGACCAAAATAACTTTTTTTGCCATTTCTTGTGAAGTCAAAATGTTCCAGATGGCGCTAAACACCTACAGTTCAGTAGATATTGAGGTGGTGGAATTTAAATCCGGTACAATACACCGGACTTTATCCGTTAACTAAAAACAAAGTATTAACATCATGAAGTGTGGCCGGAAAATTTTTTTTCTTGAGCTTGATTTTTTGGCAGTGAGGTAGTCTGACATCAGGAATGAAACAATAACATTCTCACTAAATTTATAACGTGTTGGGCGACGCCGCAGCTAAATACACTCCTGTATACGTCTAGGCATCAAAGAAACGAGATGATCGATATCTCTAACTACGTGGATTAGCTGTGGCAGAGTCTGTGACGGATGATGCAAAGTCGAAAGTCTCATCCCCAACACATCTCACACATGTTCGATGGGATTTCAATCCGGTCCAGTTATGTAGGACTTAGTATTCTTCGAACACGGAACAATAAATTTACCTGTTACATAGACACTTACCTGTGCTGATTCCTTGACCGTAATGCATAATCTGCCTTGTAGATGCTCCAGCTGGCGTATGGGCCATCACAGTGGCCAACAGGGTAATGTTCATTTCTTGAGGGCTGTAGCCACAGAGAGCAAACAGGGAATTTTCGCATAGAATCTGAGTGAGTCCACGAGAGCAGAAGTTCGCGGTGAAGTTCAGGAATTTGCTGCTGGGTAAGAATTCGTTTACACCTATCATTTCAAAAAGACCCTAGAAGAAGGAGAAGGTCATATCAACAAGGTGTTAGAAAAATACGGAGATATTTTAGAGGATGAAAGTTCACTTTTTCAAACACATACCCTCTAATGTTGCATGAATAATGTCAAAATAATTGTAAATAACGTTATATGTACCAATAACAAAGGCAACCCGTACCGTGTTGCGTTGGAACATTTCAAAACTTTCATACTAGGCGCGCTCTAGTTAACGTATTGCAGTGCTCGTTTGTTCTACTAGTAAACGCACTTTTTTCGTTGAGCAACGTCGACAAGAGTTTGTTAAAAACTTGGTGCATGCCGGTGCCCTCCAATACTGGAAGATAAATGAAGATATGATCTTCTTGCAGCGGCAGATAGAGTTAGATCGTCATTTAACTGGAGTGGATAAGAATCTATCCATAAAAGGATAAAAGACGCGTCTTAGGAACACCGAAGAACAAAAGCGGCGAGCTAAATATATTGCTTCCTTAGCTCCTTTGACATCATGTTACGGACCAGTGAGAAGAAAATTCATCCTCAGGTTCCGAGAAACTTTGTCCACCCCAACTCAGAGCACACATGATACTAATCAAATTCAAATGAGGAAAAGTTACATAATTAAAAAAATCAATTGCAGCATCAGATAGGTATTAGTTAACTAGGACAAATGCTGTTTTTATTATTGGAGCAAGTCGTCCATTCAAAGAATTCGTACCGAAAAGTGAGAGCGTACAGAAACTATAACGCTTGATTTACAAAGCTAGGTACCAGATACTGTAACTGTCCACTGGGATAGGAAATTGTTGCCACATTTAAAGCACGCAGGTCTAAAGAAGAACGTCTACCGATTGTTATGACGTAAGAAAATAAAGAGCAACTCATCAATGTTTCCAAATTGTACAACTCTTCAGCCAGTGAGCAGGCTCAGGCAGTTTGGGATGCGATTATTGACTGAAATCTTGAAGACAAGGTTCAGATTCTTTGTTGTGACACTACTGCTTCCAATACGGTGTCTGCATGCGCCTCGAACAGAGACTTAATAAAAAAATGCTTATTTTGCTTGCCGCCGTCACGTCTGCGAATTGGTGTTAAAAGGCATGTCACAGATCGTCCAAGTGACTACAAGCCCTGACATTGCAATGTTGAAAAAATTCCGCGAGTGCTGGAAAAGTATGGATTCCGGCAAAATACAGATCTATACTAAAAAGCTGTCATACCTGAATATCTTAGAGACTGACAAGCTGCTGGAATTTTATCGAAATGAATTGACCAAAGAAGTTACTAGAGACAGACGGCTATCGAGAATTAATAGAACCTTCAATAATATTCCTTGATGAACATATAGAGAAAAAAATTAGGATTCGACCGCCAGGCGCCATGCATCAAGCTCGATTGATGGCCAAAGCGATCCGTTAATTAAAAATAGCGTTGTTAGATTACCAACTCAAACTTTCTAATAAGGATAAGGTAGCTCTGTTAGATGTCTGCCTGTTCACTATGAAGCATACGTGGAACCGAGGTTGTAATGCGGTTTAGCGGTAAAGGCACCTAGTCAGGATCTATAATTTTTAAAGGCAATGAAGGCTTACGAAAGATTTGACAGAACCATTTCAAAAACAGCTTTACAAAGGTTCTGCCAATGTTTATGGAATTTAATATTTATCAGTTTGGTGACGACGTAAATGAGTAAAAATTGTTGCTAATTTAACCAAAGAAATTAAGAAATAGATTTTCCATACATACAGCCCATTTTACAGAATTTTGATGTCGACGATATTTTATCTCTTATTTTATATTGAATAGGAACTGACAGACGGACAGATAAGAAGGCTAGTTGATTGTTATGCTGTGTTCATTGATCCAGCCACTGATTACTCGAGAAAATATTTCAAAAATCTATCGGAAGATTACTCGGAAAATGACTACCCAAATAACTAACGAATAAATTTGAACTGTAACCTTAGTCTCAATCGGTACAGTTTTTAGATGATAATCTCTCAGGTATTTGCATATATGATCCATACAATAGCTTCAGTTATATAAACACTGATTATATCTTATTTATCTTATCGGAAATGTCAATCAAATCTGATACGTAGAGTACGTAATCAGGTACAATAAATTCTTCAATCCACAAAATGTATTCATCGAACAAATGTTTGTTTTGTGTCATGGCAATGATGATGACAAGCGGCTAGTCTTATCTAGCATGTAACTCATGTCGTTTAGACAAACTTATTCACTTACACTATTGTTCATTTCTCAATTCGCCGAAAAGAAAGGCTAAGTTCAAGGAGTCGTACCGTCGTACTTTGAGAATTAAATATTGATGACGCTGCCTCCAGCGCCTACAAGGGGGTATTACGATTACCGCTCGTTTCCAAAAACTTTGAAAACTGCTAGCGTACATTAGTAGAAACCACATGTGAAATTTCATCAAAGACAGTCAAAAAGGTATCAAGTAGATTACAAAGTACCAATTTTTCCCTCGTAGACGACAGAAACCATGTCATTCCTTCCAGCAGTATCCGATTTTGTGATAAAGTTCTGTATATCAAAACAGTGTATTTTTTTGACTACCTCCCCCGTCCTAATTTCTACCAATAACAAACTCGCAGTTTTGAAATACAGATGGTTTCTAGATCGAAAAATTGTATGACAGATGTTCGCACCAAAATTTACAACACCTTCGATAACAAATAATTATGGTCTACGAGGACACCGGAAAACGACGCTAAACAATTTTTCTGATTTTGGGATATTCTTTTTAAATAGTGCTAGTCAGCTTATGTAGTGGAAATGAGTCGCCTTGGAAGTGATTCTGTGACTAATATTAATCTAGCGATTGAGAAAAGTGTACCGTACGATACCGTTAAAACCCATACGTCAATATGGAAACAGTTTGCGGAATTCTGCAAGGCAAAGAAATACGAGCTTTTGGAATCTACAAGTTTAGAGGAACTAAAGAAAGATGGGGCATGGAATATGAATAAAGAAAACGGTGAAAATTACAAATAGCTAGTTGTGAAGGCAATGTGGAATACCGTTTTAGAATATGCAAGAGATGTATTTTATGAAGTGAAAATTAATTTATATTCCATTTGATGATATTATCTTTAAGTCTAGTAGGGAAGCTCGTAATGCGAAACGAAGGAATTTGTAGATAGTTTAAAAAATTCACAATCTATTACTTATGAAATAGTCTTGTGAAATACCATTTGGGCATCTAATTTTTTCCAGTGAAAGAATCGAAAAAAACAGTGCAAAGTAATGTTTAACACATTACTTAGCAACGTGCTTTTTCGATTTTTTTTCGGAACAATTAGATGCGTTTATGATATTACTTATGAGAAATATTATCTTGACGTCTCTGAAGACGCTTTAAAAAAATAACTCTAAATCATAAAATTCACTACTCAGTAAATCAAACATTGACAAAAATTATTAGAAAATCTATTTTGAACCCATATCCATCTTTCAGTAACAGATTGCAGTCCGATCCTTAACCCAAGCGGATTCCTTTTCTATGTGCTTCTTCAGCAACGATTGAATTATCGAACGGATCATTACATTATATTTAAAATACGGTCTAGATCCTCTTGCCGTGATATGTTTGTTAAACACAAAATACTCAAAGTGGCATGTATATATCTAATAAAGTTTCAACATATATTTTTCAGCACAGAAATGATCATCTTAAGCATACAGATCTCCATGACTGCAGCACTCGTAATAAAAATAATATAGTCAGGTCTGTATCTTATCATTCATTTCATTTAAAATCTCCCATAAAATCAGGGATATACATTTTCAACCTCCAGAGATTAAAAAAGTGAACTCCATAGGGCTTTTCAAAAGACGTTTGCGGAACAAACTATCCCATAGCGTTTTTTATGACGGAATTTGTTACATTCCACAATGCTTCTGATAGTCTCAATAAATAACTTATTGGCTAGTGTGTATGTATGTAAGAATTTATAGAATTTTTGATATCCTGGTCAAAAAAGTGACCTCAAATGTCAACTAACCGGATAATGTAGAGGAAAACTATTTTAATACTTACCGTAAGTACACCGTGCCATGCAGCAACCATTTTCAGTAAAGGACTGGTCATGTGGTTCATGAATACAATAGGAGCCAAACTGACATGCGCTTTGATCTTCCTGTTGTACTCCGGTTTCACTGATCCCATCACGAAGAATGTAGTAGTACCCTGCAACAAAAGTAGCAAGTAAACATTCGAGGTTCTTGGAATAATTGACGAAAATATAGTCAAAGACCATGTAGATGTATCTAGTAGCACGTTTTGTATTTTAGATTCTGTCAAAGATAATAAGTGCTAAAACCTATCGTTCACAAAGTGAACCAGGATACATTCAACGATTTGCATCACAATGTATCAGTTCGATAATTTTTTTGCTGTACCAAGGACTGTCGTTCCTAGATGTGCCAATTATATTGCCACACCGCGATATATAAGTTATAATTTAGTAAAAGAATGTGACTGTGCTCAGTTAGTAGATAATGTGACCTTGTGGCTTTTTGTACTTTGGTCTTTGTCACAAATGGTTCAGGTTTGAACTAAGAAAAAGAGACAAGTAGCGACTTTCGGCCTATCAAAATTAAACTGATTCTGGAGCTAAAGGAAACACAAATTCACACGGTACACAAACATTTATTGAACAAAAAAGGGAAATTTAAGAGTAGACCTGGGAGACAAGCAAAAGGAAATTAGTTGGTACTACCCCCCAGCTAAATGGTTTCCAGCAAAAAACTAAAATAAAAATAATCACCTTGGTAGGTGCCTGGCTATTACTGCATGGTGGGATTGATTCCCGCACAAGAGAAATTATAGCTACTATGGAGCCTCTCAAAAGAAAGGCTAGGGTAGGAAGTCCCAAATCAGAACCCGAAGTTTGAACCCTCGAACAATGGGGGTTCACTGAAGTGGGGGACTGCTCCTTACCAAAGAGAGTCCTACTTAAAAATCTCCTCGGAGTATCAATGCAGACAGTTCCCCTCAGCTCGATGGTTTAGTGTAGCTGTGATAACGGCTAAATCCCAAAGAAGGTGAGAAAAGGGCCCCGACAACAAAATTCACCAAAGGAGGCCGATTTCCATCAAAGTCTGCACAACCCGAAAAATCCCCAGCACTGGGTGTGAAATTAAATTACTCAATCGGGTTGTGGACGTTGAACTACTACACGAGAGCACAGAAAAAAATCAGCTCCAAGTCACGTCCAATTCTCGTATTTATGTCGACGGAAATTATAAAAAATGACCTTGATGGAGAGTGGACCACGATTTTCTACCATAGGATTATTAGACCAAGAGAAGTGTTTTGTTATAAAAATCAAATTAGATATTTTTATGACTGTTATAAAATTATTATTCTAATAAAGAGAAACGTTTTGATAATTTACTTTATCAAGATATTATTAATTTTTAGTCAACCATGAATAGAAACTGTAACAATGTATCCTTGGAGCAGAATCTTGATTTATTTAAAAAAATAAAAGTACCACAAAAGTACCTCGCACAAAAATGGTAGAGAGTACAATTATCTATAAAAGCTGTTGGAGTACTTTTATTCCTTGAGCCGCCGTTTATGAGATCTAGTGATCTGTGAACTATCAGATACGCTTCTGCTCTTATGCAGCATATATGACGTGTACGCCATCGATCGTTCTGACATATATGTGGAAGTATTGATGTAATGTGTCAGTAATTTTCCTAAAAATGCATTCCATGAGCAGCCAAAGGTTGGGATAAAAAATAATTTAATGCGAAATGTTTGAAAGCTCAAAGAAGAAGGTACGTACTATCACATATCCTGGTGCTTTCAACGTGAATAAAAGGGAAACTGAATTTTTGGGAAACGTTCGTACCCACTTGAAAATTATTACAATCCATATATCCTGGTAGGCTTCTACGCTACTGATTGAGGGTAATACACGAATATTATACAATTAATGTTGTAATGAGCCATAGCTTTCTTCACATGCCATATACAGGGTGTTTCAGAACTATGGGATCAAACTTGTAGGGGTTGTTCAGTGTAACAGTAGAAAACAGTTGAGTATAGGGACCCATATCCCGCGCTTGTGTGTTGTTATCTTTAAAAGCGATAACAGAGATTGTTTTTGTAGCTACATTCCATATCGCCTTAGTCGTGCTATCGTATTTGTGAAGTTTGCCAAAATTTAAACAAAATTAATTGTTGCTAATGGAAAACTTTACCAATCAAGAATTGGTGGATATACATTTGGCATATTATCATCCTAGAGTTCAATGTTGTCAATGGCTTCTGCACAACCAAATTTTTACGCTATGTTTTATGGACCGATGAAGCCTCTTTTACATGAGTCGGTATTTTTAGTAGTAGGAATAGCTACGTTTGGCACAAAGAAAATCCCCATGCAACGTTAGTCTGTTAACGTATGGGCAGCTATTGTTGATGATCATTTGATTGGGCCATACCTTCTACCGGAACGGTTAACAGGACCTATTTACCGGCGTTTCTTGGAGGAAGTTCTTCCGAAACTTCTTGGAGATGTTTCATTGAACGTTCGACAGCAAATGTGGTTCCAGCATGATGGAGCGCCGGCTCACTTTGCTGTACAAGTACGTGAGTATCTGGCTCTGCGGTTTGTGCACCGTTGGATTGCCAGGGGTGGAGCAGTTTCTTGGCCTCCTAGGTCACCCGATTTAACGTCGCTAGATACATGTAAAGCCTTTGGTTTATGAAACTCCAGTAGAAACAGAGCAAGGCTTAATTGGACGAATTACAGCAGCATTTGAAATCATTCAAAAGGAGTATCAAATTTTTAGTCAAGTCCGCCGAAATCATGTCCGAAGTTTAAATCGGTGTATTCAGGTCGGAGGAAGACATTTTGAGCAGTCCTTGTGATGACATCATGTACAAAGGCAAAAATTAAATGCATTAAATCCTATTTAGGCAATACATCGTATTTCTAAATTTTAACGCGACTTAGGGCCGTAGTACCGTAGTGACACTTTTCCGGATATGGGTCCCTAGACTCAAATGTTTCCTACTGTTACACTGAATAACCCCTAGAATGATTTGTTTGATCCCTTAGTTCTGAAACACCCTGTAGTGTGTATAATATCAAGCTTCGTGGTGTTTTTAGAATCTGGGAGGCTTCATAAGAATATTATAGGATTTTACCTCAACTATTCAAATCTAAATATCCCAAACCGAGTGATCTGACACAAATTCAATAGGAGAGAAAAATTGAGTATTTTATAAAAAGCATTTATTTTCTCCGAAAATTCCAGTGGCGTGGAATATATTGTCTACTGCGGGTCCAGGTACCCGAGTTTAGGCGGGGAAAATCTGGGTGTTTATTGATTATGTTGTGCTCACCACTGAAATCTTAAGTCAGTCTCTTTTCCAGCTCCGTAGATATATTTTTTTGCAATTTCCTAAATAAAACTTTCATCATCGCGTATCTCGGAATGGGAGCATCTTTGGGGCCATATTTAGAGGAACTTTTTTTGTCATTCTTGAACCTTAATGCGCGGCTTAGGTCAAAGCCCCCAGCGCAGGACCCCCAAGAAACAGGCCGTCCATAAAAATCGAGAACCGACAGTTGGATGAAACGTCCACCACGTGCTTCGCGATCAAGTCAATTTCTGGAAAAAGGAACAAAATTGGGGAGGGGGTAGCTCGCTCGGCAGCACACACTCGGAAATGCGCAGCGGCCTGAACCACGCAACGCCACTCCAGGCCTTCGGGCGGAAGAGGAGGAAGGAGCCGATTGCTCTTCCCGCCACTCCTCAAGGGTTTGAGGTTGCCTGGAACAGGGGTGGTGGAGGGACCGCACAGGGTAGGAGGGTGTGTATGTCATTCTTGGATGTACTTTTTACCCAAGGAATATTTCCGCGTCTTTCTAAAACTGATTCTGTCAGGCATGGGGGATTATTAGTATGAAAACCACAGGATAAGTGTCAGACGTTACATTTTAAATATGGAATACAATCGAGGCTTCGTGAAACATACATATAGTTATTGGTACACACAGTGGTAGAACAAGGCAATGTTCTCAAGGTATGTCATGTTGGCGAGAAGCTACTAAAAACTGTTTTAATACAGGGTGCGGCAGAGAGGATGGACGGTTTTAAAAAAATCATAAAATACTTAATTTTTACTCGAAAACAAATTTATTGATGGAATCAGGTTCACAAGGAAATAGCATTTGAGACAGTCAAGTGTGGAAAATCGCGTCAGGCATGTGGTGGCCGAAATCGTTGATGCAGTGCTGGAGGCGTTCTTGGAATTTCGCCCTTCAATTCGTCTCTCTACCCTTGAGGTGTCCCCATAAGAAAAAATCGCGTATGGATAAATCTGGGGACCGAGGAGAGCAATGAGCATCGCAAACCTGGAAATAAGGCGACCAGGGAAGAGAGGGCGAATAACGTCCATGGATGCTCGGGCTGTGTGGGCGGTCGCCCCATCCTGCTGGAACCACACACGTCGGATTGGAACACGTCGCCGTCGTAATTCAGGGAGAAAGAAGTTAGTGATCATGTCGACGTAGCGCTCTGAGTTCACGGTAACATCACGACCATTACCGTCTTCGAAGATGCAAGTTTGCGATACAGCGCACCAAACCCCAAACCGTTACTTTTGGGCTGTACAGCGGTCTTTCCTGTAACTGTTGCGGATTTTCATTAGCCCAATAACGACAATTCTGCTGGTTAACCATGCTGTTTAGGTGAAATTGGGCTTCGTCACTCATAAACAAAATGAGGTTCTCATTTTGATCGATCAGCGCTTCCATCTCACGTGCGAAGTTTATTCGTTGTGCATAATCTCCGGGCTGTAACTGTTGCACAATGGCCAATTTGTAGGGATGAAAGCGGAGATCCATATGCAAAATTCGCTTCCGGGCAGATCGAGTCGGACTGCCAAGAAAGACCTTTCGAACGCGTTCAACATTTTCAGGAGTTCGAACTGTTCGCGGCGCTCCTCTTGGTCTTCTGTTGATCAGTTCACCACGCCTGATTCAACCCAATGAAGGATGGTGTTTCGAGAGGGAACAGCTCTATTCCGATGAATGTTGAAGTGGCGGCGAAACTCACGCTGTACGAAACAATCATAGGCGAAAACGCGGGGCTCCGCCGTCCAAGGCTCCATAACGACAAGTAAAATAATGCTAGGATCTCAGGAGTCAAGCGGCACCCTCCCCATCTCTCTCGTAGACGGAGGCGGAGAGTACTACCCATCCCAAAAACGTCCGTCCTCTCTGCCGCACCCTGTATAATAGGCCCCTTACCTGTGAATGACCAACATAGTATACTCCATCAGCTCCTGTATGTTCCAGAACGTAATCTATCATAGTGGGCAGATCAGTCTCTCCCATTTCGTGCCAGCTGAAGTGCCAGAATTCGGCGTCTTTGTCTGGATTGAGAGTTGTGTGGTTTCTGGAATATCTGTTTCCTCTAAGATTACCCATCCAGACATCGTATCCTTCGTTGGCAAGAACGTAAGCTGGACCAGAAAAGTTGAAATGTTAATAAGTAATTCCAAAGGCAACATGACATTATTTTATGTTCGTTAAAATTAGAGCCGATAGATTTTGTACCAAAGCTTTTAGGACATACGTTATTTACGAAGATGTATAATCGAAGTATAAGGCTGACATTTCAAAATATTTCCTCATACAAACCTTTTCCTGCAAATATTTAACATTTTTCAAAAATATTTAATAAATATTTAACGCTATGGGGGTTGGGGGTACTTTGAGACATGCTTTGATCAGTTCTTTTGCCTATCGGTTCAAGAAGACGAATGCTCTTCGGAAGAATAATATTTTCCGGATTTTCACGGTGTACACATACAGGGTGTTCCTTAATGATATGCGAATATTTAAGGGTGTGAATATATATGGAAAATTATTGTTAGTTTGCTTTATAAACTATGGTCCAAAAACGTTTCCTTACAGAAACTCGGTGTGTGGAAGTTTTAGGAAAAAATGGAAATTAATTAATATTTTCAGAACCGCTTCAGAGATTTCACTGATATTTAGTACTTGGTGAAAGTTAATAAAGCTGCATATTTTTCAATTCAAAAATGATTTATAGCTTTAACAGTGGCGTGCGAACGGGTATTGACTTCGATATTTTTTAAGAAAATAATGGTACGCCAATAGTTTTAAGACAAATAAAAATTTATTTTTAATTCGCCGTTCAATTTAAAATAAATGGCAAGGATATAACAAAAAATCCACTAAAATTCTCCAAACAATTTGATGGCAAATATTCGTGCAGCACTGCTTCCTCAGTTACAGTGTTCTCACACTTAGAGGTCTACAGTCGGCAAGGCCATATACGTAATGTATTTCCGCCATTTCTGCATTTGAATAATTCACCATTATTAACAAGATTTTAAAAACTAAATACTGAAAAAGATGTCACAGCGAACTGATCTGAATAACAGAGACTTGTCAGATGTCAAAAGCCAAAAGTCACTTCTTACTAGTACAATTTTATTTAAAGAATGCGATTTTTGTGGAATTTCAGATTATAAAATGAAATCTCCGCTGACTTAAAAATCCACTGCACATTTTTCAACATTTGTTATGTTGATGATAAACATTTGGCTAACAACGTGTGTGATTTAATCATAACTACAGAAAACCAAAACTATTTTCGTTGAGGATCTACGTTCTGCTACGTTAAAAACACAATATATATGATAATCATGGTTTTGCCTGGGAAATGAGATAAATTGAAAAAAGAAACGTGGTTCTTCTGATATGCTTTTAATCTTTCACGTTTAAGGACAGAAAATGAGCAGTTCTATCATGACATTCATAATATTAGCTCTATTGTTTAATTTGAGTTGTATTCATAGTTGTTAACCTATTGTGGGTGGAAAACATTCTTTTTTGACGACCTTGGTAAGTTGGAACTAAGTTCACAACCGTATTATTATGAGGCCCAGTATAAGCGACTTACTCATTTGAGTGTCACTCATGTCCAGCAAGAGACGATATGGCCGAACAGTGGTTCAAAAGACCAAAGACATGGACAAAACTAGAAAGATGGCTGACATAGTTCAAAAAACGCTTATATTGCACATAAATTCGAGTTTTCTATGTTTTAAAGGTCGCTAATATAGCGAATTTCATGGCGATTTTGACATGTGACATATTCCAGAGCAACTACATTAATTTTCTCGGATAATAGAACGGTTTTTATTTTCTTACTCAAAAATGGCGCATTGGAGGAAAACAATTCAGGTGAGATCATTTGTTTTAAATTGAACGGAAAACTCAAAAATAATTTTTATTTGGGAAAAAACCATTGACATACCATTTTTTTGTTAAAAAATATCGAAGTCAATACCCGGACGCACGCCACTGTAAAAGCTACAATTTATTTTTGCATTGATAAGCAACTTTATTAGGGTTCATTACGTACTAAATATCAGTGAAATATCTTTTCTGAAAATAATAATTCATTTCCATTTTTTTTCCTTAAGCTTCAACACCCGAGTTTTTGTAGGGATACGTTATTGTACCATAGTTTATGAAGCAAATTAACATTAATTTTTCATGTACATTTACATCCTTAAATATTTGCATATCATTAAGGAATACCCTGTATAATCGATAACTGTATTGCTGCTCACCCAAAGCTTTGTCACTACCAGCGATCACCCAGTCTGAAGAAGAAGCGAGTAGGCCGTGCTGAAGAAAAGCTACTCTTCCATTTCTCTTTCCAGTTTTTCCATGAGGAATCCGGTGAATATTCAGGATATAACCATCTGAAGTAGTAGCATAATAATTTTCAACTGGGTACCCCTCAGCTCGGATGAGATCCAGCTAAAAAAAATAACAACCTTACTTTTTAAATTGCTTATTAATGAAAATAAATAGTGTTTTGTACGAGGTACCTTTTTATCGCTGCTGAATCTCAGTGACCACTAAACACACTTTGTGCTATGGCAGAGAGGGTGTTGCTATGTTTGTCTAATCACTAAAGCTCACTGAGGGTAGAACTCCCCCGCTGTTAGGTACAATACAACACAAAACAATACAATACTGTATTGGTGTTAGTGTACATACCCAACTAGCAAAGTGGTGCTATAAGATTTTGGTAAAAGAACTGTTCAGCCGTAAAAGCTCTCTATTGTTGTTGCCTGAACACCAAAATGCCGGCCTAATGTTGTGTGGAATGCAAATTTGCTTTCTGCAGTATATTTGCTCTAAAATGAGGTGTTTAAAATATTCTGATAGCATAGTTATTCAACACCTTATAGGACAAATTTTGAACGGTTGCATAAACGTTTATACAACTATTTTATACGGCATATTTGCGCGGTAGTGAAAATAGTTAAGTTGTGGCATTCATGGTAACGTTTATACAATAAACCCGAGCCTTGTTGTTTTGGTGTGCACATTTACTACTTTAGCCAACAAATTTCTCTCAACGGAATAACAGAATAGTTGTATAGTTGACAAAAACTGAATCTTGGACTGACGCAAATATTCTATAGCGGCTGCAAGAGGTTTACACTTTTGTTGTATAAATGTTACCTGCAGCCCTTATACAACCTCTTAAATGACTGAAGTGTCCTATTAGGTGTGCCCATTTAGGTTGTATAGCTGTTCTAAGAGCGTTTTGCCAATGTTCTTACAGCATACAATGCTGTGCAGGGAAGACTGTATAATCGTTCTTGCAACTCTAAAAGGAGTGATAATTGTTAGTTGGGTTAGTTGGTACTTACACACGTCAGTCTGTAACAAAATGTTTATAGTATACATAGATAATAATCTTTTAATCCACTTTGCAGATGACAAATGTATATATATATATATATATATATAATAATATATAACAAGGTACAGTGAAACAATAAAAATAATTTAAAAAGCAATAACAGATACATCACATATCAAAATTTAAAGTCCAAGAACTCATGGTATGAATAAAAAGCATTTTCAGCAAGGAAACTTCTTATTGTGTGTTTAAAGGCATTTAAATTTAAGGATCTGATTTGCAGCAGTAATTTATTCTAGTATTTGTGTGCAGTAATTTTTAAACTTTCCTGACTTTTCGTTAATCTTACAAAAGGAATATTTAAGTTCCCCGCACTCCTTGTATCATAGTCAGTATGTGAGATATGCGAAAAGCAATTTAAATACTGTTTAGCATACATCAGTGCTTCATAAACATATATTGAAGGCAATGTGAGTATCCTTAATTCTTTGATTGCACCCTGACCCCAAACTAAGATACCATAAGATACCAAAGAGTGGCATAGAGCAAAGAAAACTGACTTCAACGTATCACTATTCAACTCATACGATAAGCTTCTAAGTAGGTAAATGTTTCTTCTTAGCTTTTTTGCTGTTTCATTACTGTGTATGTCCCATATCAATTTATCTACGTGTATAAATAGAAATTTTGTTTGTTCTGTATGTTGTGTTTCTTGATCTTTCAATGAAAATATCATACTTGGCAGTCGACTGTGCGATCACACCTTTTCCAAGAAGCTCTGAAATGTTTTTTGATCTAACAGAGATGGCAGTATCGTCAGCAGATAGAATATAATTTCCATCTCTGTGGCTCGGCAGATCCTTGATATATATCAGAAATAAAATCGGGCCAAGAACTGAGCCCTGGCGTACACCGTGTTCAATATGCTTTTCATCTGACGTTTTAATTCCGTTGTTTACTAACTGTCTTCTATTAGTTAAATACGAATTGATTAGGCTGCAAGAAGCTGTTTCGAAGTTATACGTTCTGAGCTTTCTGATTAAGATGGTATGTGATACACAGTCAAATGCCTTGCTCAAATCACAGAATATGGTTAGCAATAATTCTTTTTCTTTAAAGCGTCAATTATGTCGTCGACCAACTCCAAAACTACGAAGGCCGTGTTTTTTTGAGATCAAAATCCAAACTGGTTAAAATAGAACATTTTATCAGTTTCAAAATGTAAGACCATTTGTCTCACCAAGCATTTTTCGTAAATTTTGCTGAGAATAGGAAGTAACGATATTGAGCGATAGCTTGCAATATCATCAGTATCCCCAGTTATGAAGACCGGTATCACAACTGCACGTTTGAAGCAGTTCGGAAATATGCCACACTCAATGCAAATATTTATTAATTTGGTTAGAGGCATTATGATTTGATTTTTGATCATTTTTATTAAAAGAGTGCTCACATCATAAATATACTAAGTGACATATAAATCCGAACACCCAGTTTAAATGGTTTTATTTTAATAAAATTTTGTATAAGTACTTAATGAAGCATAATAAGTAAATGATAAAAATTTCAAAATGATTGCACTGCTTTAAAGCCCTTTGACCTTTAATAATGTGTGGATGCACCCTGATGTGCTACGCATTCTCCAACGCGCCTAGGCATGCTTCTGATCAGGTGGTCAATGTCCTCCTGTGGTATATCATTCCAGGCAACCACCAACTCCTCTCGAAGCGCTTCTAGAGTCTGAGGAGGACGTTGCAAATTGAGCAATCTCCTACCCATCATATCCCACACGTGCTCAATTGGGGATAAGTCGGGAGATCTTGGTGGCCATGGTAACAATGTGACATGATTATGTTGAAAGAAGTCTATTGTGACTCTTGCAACATGTGGTCGGGCCTTATCTTGTTGGAAAGTTGGATCTGCCAGGGTGTCAAGATGTTACCTCTGATGAAGATTAAAGGTGACCTGGAACCATAAGCTATAGCACCCCAAACCATAACTCCAACAGTGTCATGAACATGTCTTTCAACAAAAAAACTGTGGATTCCTTCTTTCACCACGTCGCCTTCTAACCCTGGCACGAACATCGTGCATGCCTAAACAAAATCGAGACTCGTCACTAAAGACAATACTGTTCCATTCCTGATCCCAGAGTGACCGTTGTCTGCACCACTCAAGGCGATTACGTCGGTGTTCTCGAGTTAAAGGGAGGGGCCAGTGTGGCCGGTATGAAAACAAGCCAAAACTTCGCATTCGTCGGTAAACACTTCGCATGAAAATAGGTCTTCCGTGTTCTGCAAACTATTGATTTGCAATGGACCTTGTAGTGGAGAAACGGTCCCTTAAGGCCAATAATCTTAGGCGGCGATCTTCACGGTCTGTTGTTCTACGGCGGCGTCCAGTGCCCCTTGCTCTTTGCGTACGGCCTTCTCGAAGCCATGCCTGACAACACCTAACCACAGTGTCTACACTTCTTTGCACTCTAACTGCAATTGCTCGAAAAGAAAGTCCAACTTCCCGAAGTCCCACTATACGGCCCCTATCAAACTCACTAAGTTGACGAAATCATACAGGTCTCCGTACCAAAATCCGCCAACGTTGATTCTTTACTGCGGCTGAAATATTCATTTTTAGAGCGTTAGTGAATTAAAAAAAAGCAGTATAAAAACCGGAATGTCCAACTGATAAGGCTGAAAATTTTTTCACTTGTTATTTACAGTAAGATAAATAGATTCACCAACTTTTATTAAAATAAAACCATTTAAACTGGGTATTCGGATTTATATGTCACTTTTACGATATAACCCTTTTTATCACAATTTCTAGAATTTTATTATAAACTCAAATAGCTTCACAGCGATTGAAGGTAGGTATAAAAGCTACTAGACGAGAATCTAAGAATTAAAAGAAAAAATCGGGTTTCCATTTAAAAATCTAAAGTGTCACGCAATATCTTATTCTTGTCGTACAGGTATAGATGGAAAGACGTCACCCTACAAATCAAAATTGACGTGTACCAGCGTTTTTCCCAAAATACGCCACGAGAGTCACAAATGGGTTGACCTTTTCGTTGAGCCACAATATATGTTTATAAAAATTATAAGTCATTAATTCTTCTGCGGGTATTTGCACTTTGTTTACTTGTACATATGTTAGCTTCAGTTGTGTTTGTACAATACGTGAATAAACTTTTTTATTATTATTATTGTGTGACTACAGCATCACGCCTTGCCGTGAGCCTATTTTGGTTTTAGATCTTCCCTGGCCTGACATTTTTTGTACCTGATTCGGAACAAGAAATCCCTTAAGAGCCTGGGTCGGATAATAGTCATCGAAGTTGACGCCGCCGTGAAATACGAAACAAAAATAAATACTCACCACAGTGCTGGTTTCTTTCAAAGCTTTAATTTGAAGCCTAAGACGATGAAGATCCGCCGCTTGGTTCTCAAGTGGCGGTGCAGCATGGACCACGATGGCGGACAGGAGAGCGAACAGCACTGAGACTCCAATCATATTCACAAGTATTTGCAACTATCAAGGAATTCTATCACAGGCGGGTTTATATATTTTTATATATTTACACACTCCAGAGATGCATATCTCGAGTGCGTCTGTTAAAACGGATTGACAGGCGTGCTCTTTGCACTTTGCGGATGTATCAGTCAGATAAATCGGAAAATGGCGTACTATAGAGGAGGAGCTGGCAGACGCTCTATTGAAAAGAATAATTTTAAATTCGTACATGGGAAGCCGGCAATACAGTGTGTGTCTTCATAAAGTGCACATATTAAAATCAGGGAAACTACACTATATTTTATCGACGGATAAATCATCAAAAAAAAAATTAAAAACAACAATTGATTGTTTATGAATATTTTAAAATTTTTAGAGTCAGCTGCTAACCCTATTTAAATAAATCATTACAACTTTTAAACTGAATGTCCTATCATATTGGAATAAATTTTGTAGTGATTGCAAATAATAGGCCGTACCAGTAAAGTGAAAATTTCCACGACATTAAATGCTATAAATTTGAAATAAAGAGGAATATGCTGAAACTCACTATTTTTTCAATGATTTTTAAAACAATTGCTAAATTTCAATAAAAGTTGTCCTATTTACCCTACCTTTTTTAAATGTTTAGCTATTCTACATGTTATTAGCTTCCTAATGGTGAAAAATTGCAACTTATTACTTAGATACAAGTTTTTAAATCAGCGTTTCAAAAAGCAGTGAACTCAGTTCAACGCCAAAGTAGGAATAAAACAACAGTATTAACCTACATGAATCATTCATTATCTTTAACAAATAAAATCAAATAGACTTGTCTATAGGATAATCATTTTGGCTTAATGCATCAAATGTTCAAAATGGCCACCCCGTTGCTGCAAACACATTGTAGCGCAAAGTGAAATTTGATGAGTTGCCCTACGAATCATCTCGGGATCATTTTTGATTTCGTTTGCAACACGCAAGTTCCGCTTCGCTGTTTATGGAACTGCTGTACACCCCTTGTTTCATTGTCCCCCATAAAAAATAGTCGAGAGGTGTGAGATCTGGGGAACGTGCCGGCCACCCAACAGGTCCTTGTCGACCGATCCAGCGGCCTGGATAATTTTCATTAAGAAAAGACCTGACAATCAGCGAGTAATGGGCAGGACATCCATCCATTTGAAGCATCAGTCTTCGACGGGTTTGCAGCGGCACTTCTTCCAACAGCAAGGGCAGTTCAGTCCGCAAAAGCTCCAGAAATCTCTCTCCGTTTAATGTCCTCGGGAGTATTATTGGACCAATCAAAAAGTTGTCAATCAGTGCGGCCCACACATTTACGGAAAATTTCACTTTTCAGCCTAGGGTTTTCATCTTTTGGGCACCACTTATGTAAATTACGACAGTTCACGATGCCGTCTCTCGTGAATTGAGATTCATCTGTCCACAGAATTGCTTTCGGGAATTCAGGATTGTCTTTTGTTTTTATTAAAATCCATGTAGACATAACGCACCTCGGACGCCAATCCACATATTCATGCAAGTGCTGCACCCTTTGATAATGGTATGGATGCAACCCTTCTTTCCTCAAGATTCGAAAAACCGATTTCTGGGATACCCCATGACGTAACGCCAAACGTCTCGTACTAGTAGTCGGGTCAGCAAACAAATCATCCGAAATGGCTTCTTCCATAGCAACATGAATAATAACACCTGGTTCGCGGCGACCTCGAGGCAAACCAAGTCCAGTGTTAGCCAGTCTTCTATGTACTTCTTGGAAGTTACGGGCTGATGGAGCAGGGCGTCGATTTGGAAATGCAGCTAGATAAGCTGTGCAAGCAGCTCTAGCACTCCCTCGGTACATTCCATAATAATAATGGATATCGGCAATGTGTGCCGGAGGGAAATCACTTATACGTGGCATCGCGACCAAAAAGCGAAAGGGTGATATGTAGCAAACGAAACTGATAAAGTTGGCAGGAGAAACACTGCCCAACATTCAATTGTTTTTCAACTGGGCCCGCCTCTCCACTCGTACTTCAGCCCGCGTGACTCTACATTGAATCACCAAAAAAAATTTATCTACATGATAAACAATGGTGCCTAGCAAGACGATGCGCATGGGCTTTTTTATATACACTCATAGAAAGTGTTACATTTGAGTAATAAACGTGCAATTTTTACTTTTATAAAGCTGATAACATGTAGAATAACTTAGAAATAAAAAAAGGTAGGGTACAAGGGCCGATATTTATAGAAAATTTGAAATTATTGTAAAAATGATGAAAAAAAAAACAGATTTTCATCAAAATTTTCTTTATTCTAAATGGATGTCATTACTTTTCCTGGAATTTTTCACTTTTCATGCACGTCCTTTTACCAGCAATCACTACAAAATGTATTCCAATATGATAGGACATTTAGTTTAAAAGTTGTAACGAGTTATTTCAATATGGTTAGAAGCTGCTACTAAAAATTTTAAAATATTCATATATTCATAAAAAATCAAATGTTTTTTTGATGATTTATCCGTCGATGATATAGAGTGTATGATTTTGATATGTGCACTTTATGAAGACTCACACTGTATATAAAAATGAGAAATACTGAAAATTAAAAAAATATTTTTTTTCCGATTGGAAATATGCCGTTTTAGATTAAATTACCTTTAAACGCTAATAAAGGATGACGTCACTCTGCTTATTATGTTTTTTTCATCCAGCCATTTCATTTGATAATCATATCCTAGAGCTGACTGTGACGTCACTGTACTTGTTGTGTTTTCCTCATCAAGCCCCTTCATTTGATACCAGTATCATATGAGTCACTATAAATCACTATTTTGTAGCAACCGTCATACTGAATTCAATTTAATTTATCCTAATTCATTTTGTATCATCGCTCGAACGTAACGTACATAAGACTTCAGTTCAGTTGGTTACGGTCAATTAGTTCAAAATTCAGTTTCAAGAGTTGTTCCACACATAATAACATATAGATAGATATAGATAGAGTATCCTGTTTCCATGAGACTCATTACAGAGTATTGGAATATGGTCAGTATCGTATGTTATGAGGTATATATAAATAATGAACATAAAAACAAATATAAAATAAACAGGAGTACTCAGAAAAAATAATTTCCTCAACTTGTTTTTTTGGAAACATAATGAATATATCGAAAGCATGCTGTGGCAACAATGTCAACATTCTATCTTTGTTTTCGCTTACCATTGTTAAAATGTTATCTCTTAGTTTTTGTGAAGAAAGTAGATTCTGAGAGCTGAATAGTGCAGATATTTCTAGTTATTGCCCTTTCATTAATAGTATTAAGCATAACAAAATGCCTTGAGTTCCAAGACGTTCAAATTATCACCATGACAGGGGTAGAGTTATTGCCTATCGAGGTGTTGGTTTGCCCTATCACAAAATTGGCCGCCGTGTCAATTGTGTGTGGATAGAAGAAGGAAGAGGAACACGAAGGCCATCTGGTCCACCGAGGCATACCACAGCGCGTCAAGATAGGCGCTTCAGAGAACTAGCCGTGCGTGACCGTTTTGCCACTACGCGTCATATCGCTGGCCAATGGTTTGTAAAAGAAGGTAGACTTGTTACTATGCGCACATTCTTCTTTCATACCGCCAACGGTTAGTGCTTCCTCTGACTGCGGACAACCGCCGTCAACATTTGAGCAGGAGGCAGAATGGCATAATGTCATCTTCAGCGACGAATCGCGATTCTGTTTAGGTACTCACGATGGTCGAGGCGCCACCGTGGAGAATGGCGTGATATTGGATTTGCTGTACACAGTACTGTTGGAGTAATTGCCTATGGTAGCCGATCACACCATTTCTATGTTCAAGACAATATAACTGCTGCACGTTATGTTGATGATGTCCTACAAGCCACCTTACTGCCGTATCTAGAAGGTCGTCCACAAGTCTTTTTTCAGCAAGATAACGCATGTCTCCATATTGCTCGCCGTACTACGGACTTCTTCAAGAAGCAGGCGTTAATATTTCGTCGCGACCACCTCGTTCAACGGATTTAAATCCGATCGAACATGCGTCGGATATGATGGGGAGGAGACTATCCACTTTGCACCTTCTGCAACAGACTCCTCCACAGCTTATCCATGAAGTTAGAGTTGCCTGGAATCAGGTGCCACAACCATCGGTTATCTTATTTTTTCGATGCCTAGACGTATACAGCTACGGGGTCGCCCAATACATTATTAACTTTTTTCTTATTACTTGTCAATAAAACTTCTTGATGTATATAGTTACATTCTTGATGTAAGACTATCCCATTGCAAAAAAAAAGCAAGTTGAAGATATTATTTTTTCTGGTTGTAACACCTCTGGTGTCACGGATTATATAACAAGTCACAGATATATATGACTTCAACTTACCCACAATTATTCATATGAATTTAACGAACTCACTAAAAAGTTTTTTTCACTTTCCTTCGGAAGGTGCTAAAGCAAGTATTGGCTTTAATGTGTAGTGGCAGCTTATTATACAGTTTAGTCATCATGATTATTGGTCCTTTCGAAAGCAGCGTTGATCGATGCGATGGTACAACTAAGTTGAGATTGGGTCTAAGGTCATATGTGCAATCAGTAGAATATTTTGTTGAGAATTGAGAATAACTAGTCTTGACATACAGGAGTATAATGCAATGATAAATGTATAATGAAAAATGGTCATGATGTTTACTTCCTTGAAAAGTTCGCGACATGAGTCATACTTTGGTTTGAAATTCATAGTGGTAAATGAGAAATACAGCAAATAATGCAGTAACTTAATGGTGACTGATTTTTAAGATAGATTAGCTAACATATGTCCTTAATCACAAAAAAGTAGTTTCCTTCTCATCCTCCTCAATCTGTACAAGGTCCACGTAAGACCTAGCCCCGAGTATTGCTCACCTTTTTGGGGTGCTACCGGTCCAACTATACAAATATTATCCGGCCGTCGGTGATCTAGCTCTCTTCAAGCTAACGAGCATTGCTACTGAGGACTCTCCTTCACGATGCCGCCGCACGATGTGCCTTCTAGACAGACCTGCCTGACTTCGGCCTCCCAACCGAGCCATTTCGAATTTCTTACATTCAGAACTGGTCGATAGG